AAAAATGAGCATGTCTGGTTTCTTAATTTTAAATTAGAAGTGCCTATATTTATAATCATTTATATGAAAAATTTATTTCTGGACCAGCACTAGAAATTCATTACAATTATATTTGTAAGCTTAATCCTTTTATTTTCCACATAATTACATTTTAACGTTTAGTTATTAGTACTACGAAATCTATAAGAACCTTGAAAAAATTATATGAAACACAATTATATCAAATTCTGAAGTCAACTAAGCATAGCCCACATTCTTGTCTATACTTCTACTATAGAGTCGACTGCTTAAAATCCAATGCAAGATCATAGGTAAAATAAGTATTTATCATGTAAATATATGGCATCAAATACAAATAATTCTGGTTTTTAGTACCTTTGGTTAAAAGTTGATGCTTATTAGAAATTCTGGGAGATTTGTCCATGACAGCAGGTAAGCATTTTGACCTCTTGACATTATGGTTGGGCATACAAACCCAAAAAGTATCTGCAGGTACTGATGTGCAACACCTTTTCCCAGAAAATCTAGCAGTTTGTTCCCACTTTAAAAGCTAATCTTTCCCCATGGTTATATTAATGCAGTTCAAAGTGATACTATTCTAACCATTTGACACAAGAGTTAAAAATACTGTCAAGCTCATTTTAATATAGGTTACTGTGGATACAGAATACCTACTTTACTACTCTAAAGTAGTATTGATTTTTTTTTCATTGTTTGTCATGAAGAATCTGTGTTGACCAGATGCTTGCTTTTTAAAATTCATAAAACAAGAGACAAATCTGAACAACATAATGTACTGTTTCTTAGTGGAATAACATATCAAAAGAGCCTGGTTACTTGGTACAGTGTGTTTCCAATTATGATCAACCATGACTTGTTTAAAAAATAAAAATAACGTTGATTTTTCATTTCATTGTTTAACTTGTTTTTCTCATCAAATGTGGAAACATTTTACTTTGGGTGGATATTATTTGTGAGCTTTGTGAACTTTCAGAGCATACTACTTCATGTTTTCCTGCAAAGTGTTGGTAAAGTGATTGTTTAAGCTCTGATTGAAACCTGTTCCTCTGAAAGTGGCTGTGCTCAGCTTTATTTGGTAAGAGTAGTCCTGCTAAGTGGAGCATAGGTTCTCTGGAATTGCTTCTGGAGAGCCATAGCTCAGCACATGAGCTGTTCTGTTGTCTTTAGCAGGGTTACCTATGATGTTAAGTACAGTATTCATTGCATTGCTTAATGGGAGTTGGAGCCAGGTCAGGATTTGGCTCCCACTGTGCACTTCCCAGTAGTGTCCTGGGTAGCATTCAGGCTGCATCTGCATTTGGGTGCTTGGCCAAGTTTGTGACCTTATGATGAGCGTGGCTCCTGTGATGCCTCAGTAAGGAAGCCCTTGGAGGCTGCGGCTCAGACCCCGTCTGGTTTCTGTCAGTGCCTGCTCAGCACAGGTTTATTTCCATCAGGCCTGTGCTGTTCCTTCCCACCCTCTGCTCCGCTTGCCTGCAGACACAGGCTGCTGTGGGCATGGGGATGGTGCTGCCAAGGCTCCAGGCTCCAACCCGTGTGGGTGCCTTTGACCCATCTCCTGCTGGGAGCCCAGACACACAGTGCCTGGTGCTGCAGGAGCTTGAGTGATGGGAGGGCAGTGTAACCTGCTGATGGAGGCTGCACTGGCCCTTTCTGGATGATACATCTCCAGGGTCATACATCTTCTCCCAGGTGTCTGCTGTACCAAAGGGACCTCTCAGTGAGTGGGGTTCAGTTCCTTGGGTTGTGCTGTCTGATGGCCTGGCCAGATGCCGCAGATGTACGTGTTGTTATCCTCCAGTTTGGTTGTATCAATAGGATTGCTCTTCCAGGAAAAGTTAGTTAGCAGAATCACAGCCTTAATGGATTTGGCAGATGACATGGGGAGGAGGAACAAAGGGATAGAGCCACTGAGTGATTTGCCTGGAGTCAGGGCAGAAGCCTGCAGCAGAGCTGGGGGTTCTGTGTCCAATGCCTGATGTGCTCTGGCAGTCACACTGCCACTGGAATAAATTTACTGATTATGAATAACCAGCAACGTGTTTTGCCACAAGCCACATGAATAACTGTTTCTGCCTGCGTGCTTGTTAGCAGATGAGAATTATTTTTAGAAATTAAATAAAATTAGTTTTGCTGCTTACTGACTTTGAAAATTAATAGGGAGAGTAGATCTTTAATTGACTAACCATTGTATTCTCTTCACAGTGTATTTAGCAAATCTATGTGTATTTGGTAGTTTCATAGCAGTTTGTGTGTGTGTTTATTCTGTGATTTATTCTCTGAGAAGCACTGGTAGAATCAAATGACTTAGGTAGTTTTGGAAACTCGGCAGTGATCATGAAAGCTTTTCTTAATAAGCTCAAAACCAAGAGGAAACCTCAGTATTGACACAGTGCTGGACTTTGTATTTTGATTAGTGCATGCCCGTGGGGAATGAAGCTACCAAAGAATATGTTTGTGTGCTGTAGGAATTTTGAGTTCTTTATGTATAAAGATGGTGTGTACTGCTGTGACTTGCTGTGTGAGTGGAAGGTTGACCTGAGGCTTGAAATAAATAAAAGATAGTAATCACTGAGGTAAAAATAAACATGATGTTGATTTTTTTTTTTTGTTTGGTTAGTTCTTTTATTTGTACTTTGGTATGGAACTTGCAATTTTTTTTTTTTTCCAAGTAGGCTTTTTCTGAAGCTGGCATTGTTATTATATTGGTGAAGTGGTAACAGTAGTTATTTTTCCTTTATTGATTCAAAGCTTATTCAAAACATGATTCAAAGCTTATTGAAGTTGGAGGAAATAGTTTTATTATTGAAGACTATGTTTGGGGTGTTTTTTTTGAGTTATAGGTCATCATTATAGACTCATTGGATGATGTGTTTATTGCATCATAAGGTCTTAGGCTTGTGCCCACAGTCCTATCATCCACCTACAGAACCATGCCAGCTACGTATGGAAGTGCTTTGAAGCATCAGCCCCTTCACCTCCTCCAGTTTATTTCTGCCTGGAGAGTGCCTGCTGTACTGTAAGAGCAGTATCAGATGTACTCAGTTGCTAATACTCTTCCCTCATGTCTGCCCTAGACCGGCATACTTCTGGAACCATACTTGCTTGTATCCTTTGCATTTTCCAGCAATTTCTGTATCTGAAGATGAGGATTTTTACTTTTTTAAAATATTTTATTTGGCTTTCCCTCTGATTCTTACTTTGGGGTATGTAAATTTAGTTGCTGTGTTGGTCTCCATTTGAAGGAGGAAAGCAATAACACAGAGTTAGCAGGTACCTTTGAACACTCACTTGTTTGCCTACATGATGCATCTGTGGTACTTCCCTGAACAAAAGTGGGAGCAAAGTGGTTTGTTAAGTGTTTCTTCCTCAAATGAGGAATTGCTGCTCTCATCTGAGAGCCATCCATCCTTGCCCCATGTTTTCCCATGCTGCCCTTCAGGATGGTGTTGGCAGATTTGGAGCTCCCCCCCAGACGCATCATAAGCCAGTTCTTGAAACACCCGTAGAGAACAAACAATGACAAATCATTTACTGAAGATTGAATGGATAGATTTGACTTAGTTTCTGATCAGAAAAGGGGCATCAAGTAGGTGGCAGTGGGTGGGGACAATGAGGCACTTTCCTTTTGGTCTTGGCAAGCTATTAATCATCTCAAGATGTGGCATGAAATAAAATCCCAAGCAATATCCTAAGTATTTGATCATATAGTGGCTCCAGTTAACTCCAGCAGGACTAATGCCTTGAATAAACCTTAACTGTCAGAGATTCAAAGCAATTTAGCAAGTCTTATGTGTATGCCAAGATACATCAGCCTTTGTTTTTGGTGAACTTGAGGGAAAAGGCTTTGTATTGGTTTATCACAGCCTTATGTGGATTGAAACTTGCACTGGAGTGCTGGGCTTATTTTGATATCCATGTTTTGTATCTAATTTATTTTGGTTCTGTGGTCCCAAAGGAATTAAAATATATAGGAATACTGATTCCCTGTATCAATACAGTCAAAACTATAGACTTTTCTAAGTAACAGTGTTTGTTCCCAAAATGTTCCTAATAATTTGTTTTTAGAAAAACTCATGTAATACATTATCTAACTAAAATTTTCATTTAACTTGTGAACTTGGGGACAACATACAACAAAGAAAATTGCTATACCTATTAAATTTTGATTTTTAATGGACATGTTATCAAATCACTTTAATGCTGTGAGTTAATAAATAATAATGTTCCTTTATGGGGTAGGTACATGCTATCCATGAATTCTTTGCAGTGAAGAAGCACTTAAAAGAGTCAACTGCATTCTTTAAAATAGAATAGGTTTCATTGTAATCAGTTTCTGTTTTACTACATAATTCACCTTGACTGTTCAAAGCAGCTTTGTAGTCAGTAGTTGGGAGAAGCCTCTTTCCTTTTGCATGCCTATTCATTTTTTTACTTCTGGAATAATAGTTGTTTACTAAACCAAAAAACTAAATTAAAAGAAGGTTCTTTCTATACTTTGCTTATGTTTTTAGTAGACTTCTTCCCTAAAGACAACTTGTTTTTTTCTCAAAGTTGTTTTTAATGTCTGGATGTAGAAAGCTTTTTGCAATATCCAGCTGACAAAAAGAGTGAAGCTTGTACCTATTTTCTCCAACCCCTTTGCCTTTCCACTGATGCAAAAAACTCTGATGGTCACAACTTGAGTGGGGGAGGATTTTGTGTCAGGTTTTCCAGCCCATTCTGTGTCCTGCAGTTTGCTGACCTGAAGAGCCTTAGCTGAAAGGTTCTTAAAAAAGGGAGTGATGTTGGGTTGGGGAATACTCCCTTTATTGCCTTTGCAATTCCTTATGGTGTATACAAATATTAAAACAATTATTGAACAGCTGCTTTTTTTCAACATGAAAACCCATTCTGAATTATCTCTCTGTGTTGTCTGTATCATATCTATGAAGAAATTTTTGCAGTTTTGATTGACTTTCTTTCATTTTTCTTTTCAGAGTGAAGGAATTAGTTTTCTCATCATGACCTCAAACAACAGAGTACAACATTCAAAGAAGCTGCTCGGCATATACCTTTTTGTTTATTTGTTATTTTGGTTTCTGTTTTTGGGAACTGAAGCTGCTTAACGTTTACTTTTTATTGTTGTTAGTGTTGGCCCTAACAGTTGCATAATTGTTGTGGGCTAAACCGTACAACAAGTTTGGGAGGAAGGGAAGGCAACCTGCCTAACTCATTACCTGTCATGGCATCTGTGTTATCATTTTGCTGCTGTTTCGACAGAAGTTGGAGATGCTCTTCAAATCATAGGAACTTTTCTGCCGGCCTCTTTAACTAATGGCCAATGCCTTCATTTTCTTTTTCTTCAAAGACAAACTGTTTTTCTTCTCTGGCATATTAGGGGATTCTGTAACACCTGCTGAAGCAGCAAGATCTGGTATTTACTGGCATAATTTCAAGCCTACGACAGTACTACCTCAGTTCAAAGTAAAGCCGGATTTGCAGAGTTGGTGTGGACAGGAACTCCTTTATCTCTGTGCTGAGTCTCTCAAGAACGGTCGCCAGCCTTACTGAACTTGCAGCTTGTACAGCTGCTGCTGCTGCTGGATTTTGAATCACTAGCCCCAGGGTTTACTTCTCAGTCAAAGCCTAAACAGGGCACTGAAAAGTATAAAATGGGATGAAACTCTGTGAATCAGACTTGGACAGAGGATTCAGAGTAGTTAAAAAGTATAAAATGTGTAACTGAAGTAACATAAGTTAAAAACATCAACCTGTATTAGGGGCATCTCTGTACCTTTGACACACTTGTTTAATCCTCTCTATGTAGGTGTTTATGTAGGTACTTCAGATTGCAAAAGCCTTTTCTTCTATTTACAAGCTCACTTTTGTCAGCTAACTGTTCTTAGCTGCATTTCTTGTAACCAAAAATCCACATAAGCATGCTAGGAATGCAGGGATGATAATGGGTATCAGGCAGATTCAAGAGCTAATGTTAACACAGTATTATCTTGCCATCTATAGAGTCCTGATATTTGCCTTTTACCAAGAAAGCACCATTGTAGCTGCAGGCACTACTGCAGGGAAGACGAACCATTGCAGTCACTTATCCTGAGTTCTTTTCAAGGCTAGCTGTGCATCACATTTCCAGTGGTCTGAAAATCTGAGTGGTGTGGCAGCAACTGTCACAAAAGTCACATCCAGCTGTTGCACCAGACTAGCAGAATGTCATGCCACCTTGTTTCTCCTTTGCTTGAAGTGTTTGTGTACATTTTAAGGGTACCCCACCAGTGCCTGCTCTGATAGACATGTAAGTATTACTAAGTTATGAGTTATGTGAGGCTCTTTCATTTTTTTTCTTTAATCATTGTGCTTAGTGGAACCTGTACTTCACTTTTGACAATGCATTATCTTCTTTTGAGATTTTATTTTTCTGAGGAAGAGTCAATGTCTTACAAATACAACGAACGGCAATGCAGTCTTCCTGCTTAAATGCTGAATTTTTAGAACTGAGGATTGTATTACAAGACAAAGATGAATGTAAACTAATTCCTTCCCTACTCCATGGCACACTTTATTTTTCAGTGTAATTTTTGGGGTCTTAAATCACAGCAATGCTTAGGTTTATAAAATGTTAGATCTAAAATCAACTTAAATATCTGATCTGATTGAGTTTTTCTCTAATACTAATGCTGTAAATGGTTCTAAGACATTCTAAAATGCTGCTTGTTCAAGTCTGGAACTAAAAAATCCTGCATACCTTTGACATTTTTTGTCTGACCCCTCTCCACCCCCAGCCAGCACTGAGTGTGGTACCTGCTGAATTCAGTGTTTTGAACGCCTCTATTTTCAGATATCCCTCTGAATCAATTAAGAAATCATGCCACTAAAACAAATGGCTAAACTGCATACAACAACCTAAAAAAAAAAACAACTTGACAAAATAATAAAATATTCTCTATCCTGTATATTTCACAAAGGCATATGCAATACTTACATTCTTAATTTAGTTTACAGAATGGAACCAAAATGTATAAATGTTATGTTTGCTAAAACTTCACAATGTATATTGGGTCTTTGTACATTTTGCCTGACTTACCTTAAATTTAAAATATTTTTTGCTATATAACCTTAACAGTTATTAAGCAGTGTTTTCTTTTTGGGTACGTATTGTTTCTGGATATCAAGATGTTAAATATATTTCTTGCTATTGTGATATGACAAGAGACTTAACTTATCTTGCTGTGTCTTCCAATGTACACGCTGTATATAAGGATAAATGTGATGCTGCTGGAGACCAGAATAAATGGAACTAGAGTAGTGTATTGTATTTAGTCTGTATTGTTCATGGATGCTCTCCTTAATAGCCATATGCAATAAAATACATTATTTATGAAAGGAATAAAGTATTTGTGTGCCTATTTTCTCTAGGGGTGAAGTGGTTTTTTCTGGTTGTTTACATAAAATCAGTTTTTCCCTCTTTTGAATGAAAACATGTTTTCTGTAAATAAATCTTACTGCACTGCACATACTTGTTTTGCTTTTAATTCCTGAAACATCATGGAATTATCTTAAATCTTATTTAAGTATAAAACAATTGGTTTTATAAAAGTCAAGTTTATGTATTTGAGGAAATAACTAGGAGCAGAAATCATCTCAATTTTTAATTCCGGTTTTAAAAGTGAGTGGAAGATTGTGGGAGTCCTTCTGGCAGCCTATGTGGTGAGAACAGGCTTGCCCTATAGAAGTGTAGTCACCTCTGCTGGTACAAGGAGAGTGGGAAGTACAAGGAGAGTTTGGAGTTCCTCCTGCTGCTGGTTTGTGTGTAGGGAACCTGGGCTGCAGTCTGAGACACCACGGGGTCACTGCAGCCTGACTTGGTCAGTAGGAATGTCTTACACGTGACAGGAGACCCTTTTTCAGTGTTCTTGCACCCAGGAAAGTGATGGGTGTGGGTCAGGCACCTGACAGGGAATGTGGCAATGAGGGGCAGGGGACACCAATAGTAGCCTCATAAAAAGATTGATGTCTGTTATGCAGCAGTCTTGGTAAGAACTCCTTTGCTTAAGCTCAAGAGTGTTTCAGTGACATATCTTTGATCAGATGCAAGGCCTGCTGGTGCAAGGAGGGGACAGGATCTCACTGTGTTTCATGTTTAAACTCATTTGAGGTGAGATCCTGCCTTGGGATATGTATGCTATATTATGTTATGTGTTTTATATTCTTCTGGCCACATCTGCCACTCAGGGGCTGGACTTTCATGGTTGCCTGATGTTTTGGGGATGGTTCAGGGACCGTACTTGTACACCTTGGCCTTTAAAGGGCAAAGCCTGGCTCACTGTGGTGAGTGCCTTACTCTGAAAGTGGCTTGAATGGAAAAGAGCAGTTCTCTTTCTTGCAGCAGTAGGAGTGTCCTGTGGCTGCTGGAGTGTCCAATAAAAGCCACAAAGTGCAGAAATAAATGTAAATGCTCCCCAAGAGAGAACGTTCAGTTCCTTCTCTTGTATGTCATGACCTTCTTGTCTGTAGGCTTTCCTAGGGGAGGGAAAATGGGACACTCTGAGTTTCATGGTGCCTACATTCTTGGCAAGAAAAAGCAATTGTTTCAGTCTTTGATATTGCTCTGGAGAAATACAGCTACCCAAAAGAGCTTCCTCATTTTTCTGCTGTCAACAGGGTATGAGAGTGGTACCTTACAATATACATAGGAGTACAATGTCTTTGATGCAACATCTGGAAATCCAGTATTAGATTCTCTGGAAGGTACAATTTCTGATAAGCAGAAAATAAACCTTTGGATATTTGTTTCCTTAGTTTAATGTGTGTAGGATGCTTTGAAATAGAACAAGATGTGACTGTACTTCTCCAGGATAAGGGGTCCATGGCTTCCAGCCTCCTTGAGAACCTGCATTTACTCTTTGTGGTACATGGTTCAGACAAGGGTTGATACATGTCCAGGTGTCATCCCAGCTTGCTTTCCATTCTCAAACACCATGGGAATACAAAAGGGGTTTAGGTCCTTGCTGCACTCATTCTAAAGTAATCTCTGAGTGTTCTGGGGTTTGCTTTTGGGAGAGCCATTGCTGAATAGCATAAAGGAAACAAATTTGGCTGGAGGTGCAAGCATTAATGCTCTGTGGGAGGCAAATAACTGACCAAATCTTTTAGTATATTACTACAGCTTCAGTCTTTCCCAGATGGCTTTTCCACTTTGAGAAACTTCAGCTTCAGCCAGCTCTTGCAGAGATTAAAAAAGTAATGGGGATAGAAGATATCATCATTCATTTTTGAAAAGATAGATGCCAGTTTGGACTTTTTTAAAAAATTTTTTTTGAAGTTTATCATTGTAATGCATCCTATCTATTTATCAGACTAAACATATGTTTTATAATGTTCAGTGTAGGGATGGGGAAACCATGGCCTGTGGGATGAATGTGGCACATAACATTGCTTCACATGAGCTATGGCCTAATTTTTTTTTCATTCTATTAGGCAACATAGTGTCATGTGTTGAATAAATGGCTGCCAAAGGTTTTTGAAAAGTCCACTTGACCTTCAGTATTTCTTCACGGGGCCTCCTTGTATTCACTCTTTTCATGTTCTCTTTCCCCCTTTGTTAAAAGTGACTAATAAATACAATTGTAAAACTGCATTAGTAAGTGTCAATGTAGAAGGTGCCTCTAGAAAGTGAGGAGCACTAGGGCTAAAATACAAGCTCTTGCATAAGAAGAGGATGTAAACATCAGGCTATGTTTACATGTCTCAAATGGAGGAGGCAAAAGGTGGAATTAGACACACCTTGAAACATCCATTAATATGAATTCAAGGAGGGACTAGATAAAGGAACAGGATTTCCTTAGTTGGAAACATGCTTTCTGCAGATGGACCAGTTCAATTTACCTCCCACATTTGACAGCAGTTAAGCACTACTATATTATTCTGCCTCAACCTTTAAAACTTCTGCTACTGCTCATTAAAGTAGCTTTCCTTCTCATTAAATAATGATCCTCTCTGAAAATGTGGGTGTACAGAACAATTCATTCATTGGTGTGAATAAGCTATGTTGCAGAGCTGAACATCCAGGCCTACTGTTCTACCTCAGACAAACTTCAACACAGAAATTTTGCTCAGGGAAAAGGGTCCAGACCTTGTAATATGACTTAGATTTCTCCTCACAGAAAGTGAACTGAAGTGTGTGTGTAGTTCAAAATAGATCAATTGATGAAACTTATAAGGGATGAACTAACTACATCTCCAGTAGAATATTATTGTGTAAAAGTCTGACCTTAAAAGTGTAGAGTTAATATATTCTCTTATGCTCCTAATTACTTTTAAAAGATTCCTTTCACCAAGGCATAATGGCTTTTTGAACAAGTACACTAAATGACCGTGAAAAGGTGTTCTGGTACCCCCTATAAGGTCTCTGAGGCATAGTCTAATTATCTGATGCAACAATATATTACAACTGTATTTGACAGAGCAGTTACTCCTGGGGGAAAAAATAATTTCTGTATCAGTGGCCCTTTACTGGCAATTTAGCTGATTTAGATGCAGATGTTGAAGAGAGAGGACCATCCTGCAAAAGGACAAGAAAGGGCAGGGACAGGGGATGTGTTATGCCTTTACTTGAGCTGTGTGATAAACATAGGTAAAGGCGTCATGGTTCATGTACATGAGTATAGACTTGAACAAGCTACCTAGATAAAGGAGAAATAAGGAATACAAGGCAATAATGTTGCCATATCTATTATTTCATTTAATCCAGTCCAGAGGTAACTACGAGGTATTTACCCCTTCCCTATGGAGCAGTGATTGCCTTAAATTATCTCACACTTGGCGTTGTGACGACACAGACACTGGGGAGTAAGTTCACACTGGTCAGCCACAACGTGACCACCAGCTGCCCTTTTACTGCTGCCAATTTGTAGTTTAAATATCACAAGCTGTTGCACTAAGATAAACTCTGGAGCCCTGGTCCCAGTGGCCACTGATTAGGAATATGCCACCACTGCATTCATGGTGATTTACTGCAGCTGTAGCTCTAATTCAGAGTCATTTGGGAGGTTGTTTATATATTTCTGACACTTTTTTTTAAACCTTATGCCCTCTATAGGCTGTTCTGCATTGTGATTCAAGATTGCCTTTGAGCAGTACTTCAGGAAATGTAATTATAGTCAGTTATTTGTCATGTCTATCAAGCTGTTCCATGTAAATATCTTAATTCGTAAGTGGGATACATGAAAGATATTTTCTCTCCTAGAAGGCCAAACCTCACAATGGCTGCCCATTTTCTCAAGGCTAAACTGCTTTTAAGTGACTTTTTTTTAAAATTCTGGTACAATTTGTCAATGGAAGCAGAGTGGAATTTTCACAACTAGTCTATACCTTTAGCCAATGAATCAATAAAGCAACCAAGTATTTATTTCAGCTGCAGATAAATGAATGTTTCTCTAAAGGTTTCATAAAAGTAAAGGTTAAATTTTAATCCTATTTATCTAAGAACAAATATTAAAGTGTTTCTACTTTGGGTAGAGTCTTTTCTTAGTAACAAACTTGACAGAAGAGGAGTAATGTTTTCCTTCTTTGCCTGTGATGCATCATGTTTAATATCCCAGTGCTGGGTTCTGTGTTATTTTAGTCAAATAATGGTTTTACTATTTCACAGGAAGGACTTTCACTGTATAAACATTGAATTTTTTTACTGACTCTGCCTGTATATCTCAGATGGTAACAGTCCCCAGGATTTTTCTGTTCTAATGGAATAAAAACCAAAGGAAATTTCTAATTTGGCAGCTGTAGTCTATTGCCTTCAAAATCAGAGAAGAGGCACCACAAAAAAAAATCAAGACAGCATAATTTCCATTTTGAAAACTTGCTCTTTTGTTTTTGGACAATCACACTTACATGATGTACCTGGAGTGCACCATTGCCAGGTTATTTCCATGACGTTTGCTCTTCATTTACAGGCATGCAGATCAGGGGAAACATCCGGGGCCATGGACAGAAGAACCTCATTTATGCTTGGACTTATCTTTATGCTTTCCAGCCATTGAACTTCCTGTCCTGTGACAAATTATACGTTCAGAAATTTCTGTTGTTCTACACTGTGATTGCCCTTGATTTGATATATAAAACAGAATATACCATCTCAGTTTGAGGTGCACCATCACTCTGTGTGTGAAGTTCTCCTTCACTGTTCAGAAGAATGCTCTGGTTCTCCTCTTATGCAGCAGCAGCACAAGAATATCAACAGATACTCTTGACAAGGGCCTAATTATACTTGTTACTGCTCAAGAAATCTCATGCTTTGTGTGTGTTCCAATAGAGTTTGTCAGATTTCGGTGTATTTGGAGGACATTGTTGGTTGGTTGGTTGGTTGCTTGTCCTGTTTTGCTAATGAGTGGGTGACTATTTTACTTGTCCTC